CTCCTGCTGCATCTCTTTATTTAAGACTGCTCAGAGGAAGAAAGAGGCATAAATGAGTCTGTAACAGCTGTCACAGTAGTTGTTATAGCCAGCCAAATCCTGTGAATGCTTTCCATTCCCATCCGCTGAGCAACCCCCGAGATCAAGACCAAGCCACAAGCAGCAGCATCTCTTGAGCAATGAACATCAGCTTCAGGAGGGTTCTCAGTGGGGGAGGAAGGAGTGAGAAAATAGCAGCAGAGTCACACACAACCCTAAACCCCCCTAAAATTGGTATGATGTAGAGAAGCTATTCTGATTGTTTCTTAAAAGCCTGAAGGAAATAAGCTAATTTGCAATGGAGGTGGGAATTTTTTTAATCGGGCAAAGACGTGTACATAGGTAAAAGGGAGGATGACATTAATGTTGCTTTGGAAAAAATACTTTCATTGAAATATTATGGTGCACTGTTCACATTCAGATTATACTGTAAAATGAGCAGATTTTTTTGTACAATATTGCTTGATGTGTTGCAGAGGAGAAAGCCTGGTAACTATCCTCATTCTTTCAATGTCACTATTTTTTGTAAGATGGCTAACCATGCCATCATTAAAATCACAAGAGGATTCATGTTTGTTTAATCTAAAATGAATGTAAATTGGACTTCATACTTAATACCTTAAAGCCATGCTGAAATACAAGGAATTCTATTGTCTTCGTATCATGTATTTTAGTTTTTTTTTTCTCCCCACTCCAGCAGAAGACTGACAGTTTATAACACAGTGGTGCAACTGCCTCATTTGTACATTTACAGTGCTTGATAAGGGGCTGAAATGCTTGATTCCCCAGAGGTCCTCCGTGTTCTTTTCCCAACAGGAAATGTCTTCCTATATTTCAATACAGCTGTGACAAATTTTTCTAAATAACAGATATCTAGCCTTTAGATACTGCCTTTCATGCAGGAGAACATAAAAACACGTTACACAGGGCTCATGCAAATCATTTCACTACACACCAGGCAGCACAGAGCAGAGCCTGGGATCAGAAGCGGAGTAGCCCGTTCCACATGGCACATCCTGCCCGTGGCCCTGGGACCCAACTCACCCCTACACACCATCTGTTGCATCAAATGCATCCTAAATTACAGTAAAAAAAATCAAGACAGAATTGTTGAAACCCCCCAAAGTTTCCCTAAGCCATACTGGATAGACATCTAAATGCATTGAAATATACTGCCAAAAATCTATATTGCCTTTGCTCAGGAAATGAGGTAACACCTTCAACCACCAAGTCACGCTGACTTTTCTTTATGTCAATAACACTGCCTAAAGCCTGGCTTTTAACAGTAGCCTTATCACCTATCCCCATTTATAGCACTACTGTGGATTGTACCACAGCACATTTGTTATAAAATTCTTCAAGAATAATGACAATAAAACCAAGACAATTACTCCTCCAAGCACTAGCGTTGGGGTATTTTTTAAAGAACAGATTTGATTGAAAGGTAAAGATTAGCTTTAAATTCCTCCACCCCTTCTTTTATTTGAATATGAAAAGAAGGTGTAATACAGATGCTTCTCTTGATGTGACATTAAAAGACAGTTTGGGTCAATATAATTACTATAGAACAGAAGATTTTTTTTAAAATCCTTAAATATTTGTACTTACTGATTTTACCCTTCAGATGCATTTTAGCATTCTGGGGTAATCGGTTAAGTCCAAACCACAGATGCCAAAGTAAGTACTAGACAGTCCCTCCCTATACTACACGTAGAACAACACAGGTTAATCCCTCTCCAAACAAGAAAAAAGCTATTTCTGCAACAACAGTTTAGAATGTGATGATGTGAGTCAAAGTGACCCCCTAGAAGAGTTTCTTTGCACTTCATGGCAGGTTAACGGACATGTTATAAATGTCAGACTACACCATTTTTAATAATAAAAAAAGACACTGTAATACTGTTTCCTTGTAACCGGGACAGAAAATCATTTGGTAACAGTAAGAACATTTATTGGTTTTGACATAAAAATTTCTTGCTGTGAGGTGGAAACACTGTACTCCAAATACCAGAAGAAACACGAAATCTCAAGGGTTATGTTCAGTAACTCTTGGTTCAAAAGCAGACGCGGCAGGTGCATTATTTAAGAGCTTGTCAGAGATGATCTTCTACAGCATGCTACTCCAGGATTCATCTCCTGCTATGCCTGGGAAGGGGATTCTCATGTAAATATATGGCAGAACTGGCTGGCTGCACATCAAGCCCATACTGCCCAACCTTCTTCAATACCACTGTGCTCACTACAAAATGTTAGTATCAGAAAAGGTCTTCAGTACTGAATATAACTACCCCCCTCAGATACCCCATGTAAGAGCAGTTCTTTGGCTGAGGGCTTCAGAGTGCATTTGCTCTGAAAATTTCAAAGTGACATTTTTCTCAGTAGCCATACTTGATGTTCTAAATTGTATTTTGTATTGCTGTGCTCAGTGCCATCTCAACGCCACAAAGATGTAGTATACTCAATGCAAAGGAGAAACAGTTGCAGCCTAAGCTACTGCTTTGAATTTCTTGACTCCTGCACATACAAAAATTTGAGCATATTTTATTTAACTTTTTTTTTTTTTCTTTTCATTCTTTCAGAGCATAAATCCTTCAGTAGAAGCTAGTCACATCAGGATTTCAATAGGGATGATCACAAATAACCATGCTAGTAGGGAAACAGAAGAGGTTCAAAGGACCAAACTGTTAAAAACAAAACAAAAATTAATTGAAATGGGTTGACTGGGTCCTCTGCCTATAGCAGCGAGATAGATTTTCAGCTGTGTAAGCCATGGGAGCATTACTGTCTTCAGCACAGATGAGCTCATTTGTGCAAAGGATTTGACCTCTGTTTCTGTAGAAGATACTCTAGACATGTGTAGACCTGCACAACTACCTTCCCATTTCTCTCACTCACCCATCAACACTTCAGGAAGAAGGAATTTCCTATGTGTTTTGGGTGGCAGAGTCAAAACAAACACAAAATCCAGTTTGAACTACTCCAGTACAAACTTAAAAATCCCTCAATACAGGAAAATCACAGCCAGTAAAATATATCTTTTTTTCTTTTTTATGTAACTGAGTAGCTTAAAAAGAAACAGGAGAGAAAAATCACTTTCGGTTAAGAACAAGCAAGAGAAATTGCATACTTTTAGAAAATACTATTTTGAAGGAAAGTGCTTGCCTTAAACATGTCTATACTGGCCAGTCAGAGAGAATACGGAGACTAGAAAGAAATGGCTTCGCTAAAGTACCATTGCACTAAACAACATTTGAGAGAGGAGGAAGACTACAGAGAAAGCAATGGGTGTACTTGAATATGGAGTATGTTGACCACATGTTTGTGGCACAAAAAACATCTGTAACAAAACATTTTGCACAAAATTGTGCTCTGCAGTGGGGAGAGAAACTAAAGAATGAAAAAGGAAGGTGAATCTATGTACGTTTAACTGAAAAACAGAAAGCAGCTCTCTACCATCTCTCACTTGCACTGAACCCTGAAGGGGAAAAAAATCAGGATGATTACACATTTAACTGCAGTAATCCTGGATTAGAGCATTTAATTCCTAGACTGTTTACAAGCCGTCAATACAAACATTAATAAGCAGATATATGGTAGGCTGCTTTAAAAGTCTATTACTTCCCTGTCAAAACTAGCTCTGGTATAAATTCAGGACTATGCAATGTTTCATTCTTTTTAAGGAAGGTTTTATCTTAGGGGTTTTAAGTCATCTCTTATGCCTGAATTACTACATAAAAATATAACATCCTCAGCAAACATTAAGTAGGTGGTTTCTCTTTTGTTAGCAAATCGAGTACACACTAGCCTTTTCAATTTTTGAATGCTTTTGAAAATAAAAGGTGTCTCAAATATAACATTTGTAACAGGTAAATTATATCTCTTCAGACAAGAGTAACAATTAACAGAAAGCATCTGTACCATGTTTACCTTTATGAAGCATTATTGTACCAAGTAGCACAGAACCTCAATACAAGTGAAAAATTATTCTGGAGAAACATCTGGAAAAGTCTTCACCATTATCTCTAAGGAAACTGATAGCTCTGCAGAAAACTTATCTCTGAAGTCTCCTCCATCAACAAATATTATTCAGTCACTCACAGTACAGGTAAATTACCTCATCAGCTTAAACCTTGTTTCGGCATTTCAAAAAACCAAAAAATTTCTCAGTCTGGATTCACATACCGGCAATCACCACGGGCTGACACGTCACAGCAGGACAGGCTTACGTGCCTAGGAAATTCCAACACGCACAATGCTGCTTTTCAGAAATGGGTTACCGAAGAAAGATTTAATTTGAATTTCCCCTTGCATTTTTTCCATTTCTATTTCTTCCATTTTGAATAGCACAGTTTCTCCCACCCCTCCACCCAATAGCATATAAATTAATTTCCCTCAGATCACTTTAACCTGTGTCTTAATTCAGTGGAAGCTGGGTAAAATTCTTGATCTAAACCCAACTGTAGTCAAGAGAAGCCTTTCCACCGGCATCAACAGGTTTTAGCTCTGGATGGGGAAACCCAGGTGTGGTGCTGCCGTGCAACAACACTCCCCATGTCCTGCTGACCTCTGCATATTTCAGCAGGCGTGGGAACACAAATCATCCCCAATTGCACTCTCTCCAAGGTATAGGCTAACGTAAAGCTTTGTATCAGATGGGAAACTACACAAACAGGAGATGGCAAACTCGTAAGTGACACCACCAAAGTCATGTGGCTGATGCTTCCAAGAGTTCAGAAGTACTGCAGTCAGGTAACTTGGGAAACTATAAATTCATTGATTTTGCTAGCTCGGAGAAATGTTGTGAAACTCTACACTGTCTCTCACTGACAAAACCGCAAAGTATCTGTAGTGGCATGTTCTGCCACTGAATGCCTGCTGTCCTTACAGATAACATTCTACACACATAACTGAGATTATCACATGTAAAAAGAATGAGGGAAGGGGAGAAAAACAAAGAAAAATGCATCTTAGAAGTTACTTATGTTTAATGCTTAAAAGTCTGAATGCACAAACAATAATCTACCATTATAGAAGTACTGGTGGTCAATACAATGCATTAGAACTATGTACAATGACACAGTTTAGTATCAAAATCTTTCTACAATGTAGAGTATTACGAAACTGTTAATGACATCAAACACTAAGCACTTAAGACACCATTTTTTGCTACCACATTTGGAACTTCAATGAACAGTCCATTTTAACTTGCAGCATCAATCCATTTCTAGTATGAAATTAAGTAATTTTCTACTTATACAATAAGATTTATCTACACGGGTCTTTTGATTTTGATCCATAGCAGCAAAGGCACTGTACATCAGCAGATCCACAGACTTAAAGATTTTTTTTAAAGCATTCAAAAAAAAAAAAAGTCACAGATCATAGTTTAACAGCTACAACAACAACATAAAAAGATAACACGTTGTCTCTGGCACAATGGCTCAGTCTGTGTCCATTTTAGGGACATCCAATCAAGACTTGGATTGAACTGCTGGCGAACAAAGCAAGTCCTTATCCCAATGAGAATCCATTCCTTTTTGTATGTCGGAATGAGTACTCTTGTAAATCCTACCTCAGAGGTCATTGCTTTTGTAGTTTGTATATTGGTAGGCATCCATTCTTATTTCAGTGCAGTTTCCAAAGAACATATCAAATATTTTTCATAATCTCTTGTAATTGAAAAATTGCCCAAAGATACATATCCCCATTTTCAAGGAAACATTGCAAAAGTTTCCAGAAGTAACAAAGGTGATTCTTTGAGGCAACTTATTGTACTCTCTACAATATAACAAAGAGAGGTGTTTATATTAAAAAACCTAGCTTGACACCAAAATGCTTTATGTTTATCAACAGAATAGCATTGAGAACAAATCTGTACACAAGATGCTATATTAACATTGCAAATATATAAATTAGCACATTCTTACTTAAAGTGAATTTAATTTAGATGTGAACTGAATTTGCCATTCATCACAGGCATGTAGATCACTGGCTACGGTTTGCAATTTCCTAAGTTTCCAAGACTGTCTAAAATAGTTAAGATACAGCATCTTCCCACCAAATAATTATACTGTAATAACACTTAGAGGTCTCATTCAAGAACAGGACTAAAAAATATAACAAAGTTTATTTTTTTAAATAGAAACTACAAGTCTATTTAGTGTAACTTTAACTATCTCCTGAACATCCTTCTCCAAGATCCCCAATTTATCCACCTGCTAAAACACAAAGTATACAATGCACCTTTTAAACTAAAGCCGGGCCAGACAGCTTTATTTAGTCAGTTCACTGTTAGAAAGCCTTCTTTAAACAAAATAAATACATTACAGCTATGATACATAATTAAAGAGTCAAGTTCACTGTTAAGTATGCTTATTCCATCTTCCTCCAAGTAGGTATCTGACAATTTGGTATCACAAGTTCTTAATGAGCATTCACAAATCAATTGCAAGTTAAGGAAGTAAAAATAAATTCCACAACTGTGATGAGCATTTAAGTTCTCAGTTTCGAAAGAAAAAAAAAAAGGAATATACAGCAAAGTGCTAGGAGAAGGAGTTCTGTCTGCATTCAGATTTGTCTCTAATAAATAACTTCATAGACTGTAGCTTTCTTGTCCCCAGAGCCAGTGACAATGTATTTGTCATCCACAGAGACATCACAGCTAAGCACAGATGAGGATTCTTTGGACTACAAGGAAAAAAAAAAAAAGAAAAAAAAGATTACATCTTTCCAATCCTTCAGTCCAGAAGAGCTTGAAGATTAATTGGAAGAGTTTAGAGAGGGAATACATCAAAAGCTCATTTAAATATCAGTATTGTAGTGCCAGCTTTTGTTACGAGACTGTTTCTCCAAACTTGTTCCACTTAAAGCTCTACGGCAGCAAAAACCAGCAGTGGAAATGGAAGCGAATGTCATGGACCTAGAGAAAAATCTATCAATCAAACAAAAAGAAGCAGTCCTTTCTATACATTTTACAAGCAATAAGCATTTATTAATATTTTATATATCAGCTTTTGCATAAAAATGAATGAAAAGCCATCTTCTTCTCTCCCTTTTTTGTTGTAAACCAGAAATCCGTATGGAGAAGCACTACAAAGCCCTACCCACCCACAGGTATGAAACAAAGAGACTCCACGGAAGTAACTGTATCTCCTCTCACTATTTCCCCAACACAGAAGACAAAAGTCTTGCATAAAGGAATTTACATTATTAGGGAAGATGCAAATACGAAAAGACACTGTGGTGGAATAGGATGTGCAACAGTGTACTGCAGGTGAATGAGAAACAGGATACATCAGGACGCAGTAGCTCTGTCTCTCCCAGCTTTTCTGTCTTTTCTGAGATGACGTGTACTTATTGTCACATTTTACTTGCTGTTTTCTTTACATAACATATGTCCACATTCTTTTCTGCCTGTCACCGCAAGAGCTAAACACGTCCTAGTCATGCTAAGTTTTTGCCAAGAAATCTCTGCTGCACTGCACAGAAAGTTTCTTTCTCTACTCCTCATTAAGAGAGCTGCTGGGGTTTTAACATCACTTTTAAGGAAGATGTGTTCTTTTTAGGATCATTTGGGCTTTCAGTGGGAGGTGGTTCTGGAGCTGAATAGCCTCCATCAAGAAAACTCAGACCTCAGCTTCCTCATGTCAAGGCAAACTGTGCTGTCCCCAAAGGTGGGGACATGATACTTTTCAGTACAGATGAGACCTGATCATTTAAACTGGAACTCCAGTTAACTCAATTCAAAAAATTCCCAGCCTAGAGGTACCCATAGGTGAAAGAAGAAAAGAACATGCTGAAAATCCTATTTTTCTTTAATAGCACTGAGGTGCCATTAAAATTGGGCACAGAGAGATTAAAGACTATAGAAAGATTACAACTTCCAGTTACACTCCACGAGGCTCCTGCATAAGGATACAGTCTTCAGCTCAGGAGTCTGCCTGTCCAATCCATGGATTTTACGCATCTCATCCAAGAAAAATACGCATGCTGAATATGACTTTCACTGTTTTAGCTGTTATTTTGGACCTTCAGTGAATGCTCACCTAACAACATGACTTGGCTACTGTATTACAGCAATATGCACAAGAAGGTAAGAAAGGAGGGTATTAAAAACAATTTTGGATTAAAGGGCTACTTCATTGTAAGAGCTAAATTACTCATATGTTAGAAAGGACAAAAGCGTATCTCTCTTTAATTACGGACAAAGTCTTAAAAGAACACAGTAACTAGCCAAGAATTTCTATTTAAAAACTCCTTAAGCTAATGACAGACCCTGAGATGTGCAGCTCTACTGCACTGTAATGTATGTGGAAAATAGCTTTTAGGAGATTATTACCTGGAATATACTGGCTCCATAAGGTGTTCTCCAGGCATTAAGAAGATTATCTTTTCCAGTGCTTACAAACCATTTGCCTGCAACAGATTGTTTAAATGTTATTGTTGCATTTTGTTTTCAAGGAATGCACCCCAAGAAACAGATTAATCATAAAAATAATGCATTCACACATATCCAAAGAACAGTCACATTTTCACCTGGTTGCACCACAATGTTTGATCACAACATAAGCAGTTCACACAAAAAAGCAGTCATACCGAACCTTTTAAATAATTTTAATACTTAAATTTAATATCTAATTTTTAACTATACCTCTACTTCCATTTAAAGGTAATCTTGAACAAACTTCTCAGGAGAGAAAACACTGGCATAGAAAGATTTGCTTACCACAGTGAGCAAATTTGAGTGACAACACACAGCTCTCATGAAGATGCAGCTGATACTTATCCGGCTTAGTAACGTGCAGCACCTCGACGTTACTGTTCTCCATTCCTACTGCCAACCACTCACCAGTTGGACAATAGCCCAGTGAGAAGATCTGGAATTAGCACAACACATGCTTCAATCAGTAAAGGAATGAGCTTGAGATATTCAAAACCAACTCTTGCTAGACTGTTAACACTATGCTAAAACACATTTTGGTCTACTACAGTTTTAGAAACATGATAATCCAATTACTATAGTAATTAAGATAAATTAGTTCATGTAAACAAAGCCAAATTAAAACTGTAATAGTAAAGCACTGAATCAAGCTACAAAAGTTAATGTCCTAGCTTATCTGACAGCATTTAAAAATATTTCCGTAAAATATGTTTTGAACAAGAATCTACAGAAACAGGAACAGACTGCACACAGGAACAGTTTAATCTGGCAATTCTTTTATAAAAAGGATTCTCCACTACTCTCGTGGGAGAAGTGTTAATCTGTCAAATAGCCATAATCCAGAAAGATGTTTAGCTGCCATATCAAAAAAAAAAAAAAAGTGTATGAGACTAAGTGAAAAATTCTTTGGAATTCTCTTTGAGCCTGCTTTTTTTTGCTTAAAAAACTCCCTAAAATCCAAAAGAACAAAAATGCTTGTTTTAGAAAACCATGACTGATTTTTCTTAACATGCCAAAGCTTCTGAAATGGAACCTGTGACGTGAAGTCATGTTGCTGTAGCTGTCTTCCTTCTCTGAGATCCCAGGATCTGACTGTATTGTCCAAGCCTCCTGTCCATAGTTTGGTGCCATCATTAGAAATGTCAATACAGCTCGCCCCATCTGTGTGGCCCTGAAATTGCCTGAAAATATTGAAGGAAGATATGCATGTTCTCACACTGGAAACAGTTGGCTCTGAGTGGGTATATGAAATATCTCCTTTTTCTTTCAGTCCCTGACACACAGCCATGAATGACAACAGTAACGTAGATTCCAATAGCAATCTGAGATTAATATAAACTCTGGGATGACCACATGAGTTTTGTGATGAATTAATGAAGCAATCAGCCCAGACAGCCAAGCACTAATTTGATTTCAAAAAGCCCACTTGACGAGTCAGATAGGCCAGGGATCTTTGCTGCTGAATGTGTGATACCCACTCCCCCCACAGGAATGTAGCATGATCATCAAAATACACTTAGTTTAAGAGGAATCTGCAGGTCACCAACAAAGTTGGGAAAAAAAGAGCAGTCTAAATGGGAACATCAGGGAGTAAAAGCCTGCTTGTATAGGCAATACTGAGATATTACATATAACAACATACACACAGTGCAGTGCACAGAGAAGCTCTGTATGACTGGCCCCTAGCTTACTTTACAATAGTGTTGAGCAGAAACCCACACTCCTAAGATGCTAAGTTTGCAATGCAGTAATTTACACACATCTTTACCCAAGACATACTCGCTGGAGCACGGATTAAAGAGATTGGAGTGGGAACACAGTGTATTGCACGGAAACAAAGAAAATCACCTGTTCAAAGAACCTACAGCAGTGTCAACATCAACTGATCTTAGGAAACTATAGTTATGGTTGCTCAACAGGTCTGGAATTATGAAACTCTCAAAACCTATAAACAATTATATAGACTTTTGTCGAAGTATTACCATGGCTATTGCCTAGCAATGAAATACTGGAAGTGACTATGCAGGCACCATGGAGAAAATAGCATATGTAAGCAGAAGAGCAAATAAAGCCATGTCTAATTAGTTCTTCACAACCTGACGATCCAGCTCTGTCGACCTACCTTACTAAAGTCTGGTTATGTAGATCCCACACTGCAATGTTCCCATCACTACAGCAAGAGAAGCAGACCTTGGAGTCAGGGCTGATAGCTAGGGCATAGCAAGCTGGAGCAGAAGATGTCAGCTCTGCTTTGATGCGAGGAGTTGGAGCTGCCAGGTCCCAAATGGATAACGTGCTGGCTTCCCCACCAACAATCAGGGTGCGGCCGTCGGGGAGCAATCTGCAGGAACGGATGTAGTTATCTCTGTTCTGTGGAGACAGAAACCATCAAGAGATTACTCATGAGGAAAGGAAAACAGCATTAACATGAGAGCAGAAATCCATAAAAGTATTGTATTCCCTCCTGGTTTTAATGAGCCATTTTTACTTATGACAATGATAAAGTGTACTAATGCCAGAAAATTACATGACATGAGGGAAGTACTTAAACTTGATCTACAAAATTCAGTAGTGAGACATATTTAATCTTAATTAGCATCAAAACGCAAAGACCTGAACCCAGCCCAAAACAATTCAGGATAGCTGTATTCGACAGCTTGTGTAGAAAGTTACATTTTCATACTCTGTTTATTTCGGCACATTAACCTCTCGGCATGGGGGAGTAACAAATTCCCTATGCACTCCCCCGCCTCTGTTCCAGTGAGACTTGCTGCCACCATCTACGAGATGTCAGAGGAAAATATTTGGGCAATTTTCTTCATTTGTGTAGCAACTTGTGCAGCAATTCATTATACATCTACATGTGCAGCACAGTTCTCATTCTACTGCTTCTATAACAAGAAGCAACATCTTACCAAGAACTGGTAAATGACACAAGAAAAGCTGCTAACAATGGTTCATCTTGTTAGCACATTCAAATAATTTGTGAACAAGACTCAGGGATATTTTTAATTGTCACATTAAGACAAGGCAATGCATTCACACACACACAGAGACACAAAATATGTGACACAATCTTCAAATATTCTGAGAATACAGTTGTAAGATTGCAATTTTTAGCATGATCAAGCTTTCAGAATTTATCAAGCTTTAACATTGCCAACAAATGTCAAAGTTTTTATAAACAATATTTGCTGTGCTGTCTTTGATCTTTCCCCCTATCAATACAATTTTAGGATACTAAAGATGTTTTGATTCATTGGGGGGAAAAAACCACAAGTACAATATACTTCAAACTCAGTTCTAAATGAAACAACAAAATGTCAAGCTTTGACACCAACGACAGCACTCAAATAGCCACTGTTTTTTGTACCTTAATTGTATCACTTCAATCTTAACACAACCTGCTATCTTCTTCCACTGTCAAATGCTGCTGTTCACCTACCAGGCAGTCCAGCTGAGAGACAGGGCTCTTGTTGCCAGGGTGGCTGATGTCCCAGACTTTGACGCACCCCTTCCCACCTGTGTACACGTGTCTTGTGGGGTTGCTGATGGTAACTGCACACACAACTTCCCCATGGTTCAGAGTGTTGATCTGACGGGCATGGCGAGGGATTCCTGGACCAATGAGGGCATCAGGAGGGAAAGGAACTGGCTGCATCTGACCATCTGCGCTTACATGAAATGAGTATGCTCTGAGGGTGAAAAAAAAAGATAGGGGGTGATTTAACAAGTTTTTCTTCAAGTCTATTTAAGAAAACAGAATTAAAGGTGTGTTTCCACTGCACACATTCAGACTATGCACTCAGGTCCTTTTGCAATCTTTTTAATTACATGAAGAAGAAATGATTTATTTATCTATAGCATGGCCCTCAGAGCATAAACTTGGGTACTTTTAACATGGAAAGTCAAGCACCATCTATCAACCAAATGAGATTTTGCAACTCATGCAATGATGATTTCTAGCATAAGTGAGGATACATAAAGCTACTCGTAAACTTGGGGCACAGGGAAACCAGTGCATGCAGAGAAGGGAAGGAAGGTCAGGTCACGGCCCCCTGGGAGACAGAAATAGTTGGCTAGCTGCTGCAGAGCATGGCAGGTAGCTGAGTGCCAGGGGAGACTTGGTCGCTCCCTTACTGACTCTAACGTGCAAACTTCAGCTGGACTGCTGCCAAGATGGCCCAAATGCACCTCGAGTCCCACACCCCTAAGGCAAAACTGTCCAGCACTCCACCTAAGAGTGCAGCGAAACTTCCACCATCAAGGAGTCAAGTCCTCAAGGCACAGTTGACATCTGACATGACAGACCAGCAAAAATGCACTGGAATTTTTTTCCTTCTTTTGGGCTTGCTGTCTCTCCCCACCCTCTGGTTTTTTTTTTCCTTGGTTTTTTTTCCTTTTTTTTTTCTTGTGTGTGTGTGTGTATGTGGACCTGACACAACAGCTACAAATCCTAATTTCCCTTGCCAGAATCAGGGCTCTCACTGAGAAAGAATGTGTTGTGTGACTGCCAGTTATGCCACCTGTGAATAACCTATCAACAGCTTCATCTCAAAACATTTTCCAGGGAGAACAGTTCCGTTGTGAAATTGTCTTGTTCTGAGATGCTACTTGACACATCACATCTATTACAAGAGCACAAACTTCATAAGAGGGTTCACCTAGACATAATAAGGCATGTTTAACGGAAGGTTTTAATTTCCTTAGACCTAAAAAATCATCATAGTATTGATGAAAAATCCATTGTCACAATGGTGAGATTAGAAGAGGTCATAAAAAAAATAATTTTATGAGAATACTTAGGGAGATCACTTCTTTAACTGTTGCTTCAAAGTTGCTGAAGAAGGCAGCCTCCAGAATTCAACTATTGAATTTGTTATTTAAGATTCATATTGCATTAACACTGGAACAACAATTTTCAGTGGGACAAAATGCAACTACATTTTCACCTTTCTGCCCTCTTCCCAGTGCTTTACACACTCTTCTAATCCTGTGCTCCCTTTCTTGTTCTGGAAGGTCTGAGTGACAGATCATCTCATCATTCTCCATTTTTTTACATTAAATACATACAGGAAAGGGTAGGACAGATTTCTGTGGTTGTCAGAAGCAGCAAACTGCCTATATGAGTATAATTAGAGTTGATTATCACCGCAGAAATCTGAAATGTCTTGCTCGTTATCTCCCTACTTCCTGTTTGCTGCAACAAGGTACTGAAAAAAGCAGCTGATGGTCACCTGAAATCTCTAACAAAACAAGTGGAACTTCATTATCATCTTTTCTGATTCCTGCATGCAGTTGCTCTCTGCAGAGCAGTGTTGAGCACTGAGTGTATATCATCCAAAGTGATTTTTAGCATCCTTATGAAGTACACAGGGAATATATTTAACAATTACAGAAATAAAGCTGAGATCTGGAGCGATCTGTGACTACATTATTCTCACTCTATTCATTAGTCCATACCAGCACGTGTGATTAAACTGTTGTTTTGTTTGGTTTTGTGGTTGTTGAGTGTTGTTTAGTTGGTTTTTTTTTACTCTGAGAACTAACACCACATGTTGCTTATTTGAAGAACTCTAAATATCTTACAAATACCTGGCACTATAAACACCTGTTGAGCACTTTTTTGTTCTTTTCACATTAGCCACCTTTTCTATTTATATATTGTACAATCCTCAGTGTTTTGATATATCTCCATAGTGAAAATAAAGTTATTAGGGGCCAGATCCCCGATGTGGCACGATGCTACCTGCTCCATTTCAACAGACAGGCAACAGTCTGGGGAATTTATACAACTTTCACTCTAAGGGAAAAGAAAGAGTAAATGAGAAAGCAACAATCCTGAATGATAGCTGTGAAAAGTACTGCACTTAAGATGAAGAAAAATCAATGCAATCATGCTAAAACAAACACAGATTTTAAAGGTTTCAGGCCCTACAGCAGACAAATGATAGCTACACTTAAAACATTTAAAACAGTCAACAACATTCAAAAGCCTTTGAGAGGCACCAGAATTGAACTGGTCAGCTTGCTTCATGTTTTATTACCCCCATCTCTAACACAAGTAAGATGTGAGCAGGGAGATCTCTGCACCCCTGGTATTGCTATTTCTCAGACCATAGCAAGCAAAGCCTGGTAGAGCCGATAACCCTTCCTTCCAGGTGATCAACTTCACCAAGTATGAACTTCAACCAAGTGAACATTTGAACATTATGTCAAGACATTTCTAAGTGCCCGCTGCATGTGTAGGATGAAGATCCGTGCCCCACAGATTTTTTATCGCAAGCAGCTGGTCCAGAAGCTGCTGCACACCAATTTCCATGCCTGCCTTATGCAGCCACCTAACACGGCAGCGCAATTAGCAGAAAAATCAACTTCAGGTGGTAACTAGTGTGTGACGTGAGAAAACTGGACATGGTTTATGGTTTGTGTGACATATAGGTACAAGAGGAGTCACACGCGCTAGGACTGATCGCTTGTCACCACGGTATGTTATTAATATTGTGTGTCTGCAAGCTCACTGACAGGCAAGCATATGCATTTACTCACATGCATGCAAGTGTGTGACTATCCTCCAACCACTCCTCCACAAACACGTTCATACATAGGAGAGTGAGAAAAGGAATAGCACAAACATTTCCTGCTCTTCAAACTCTCCAGTATTAGCTGGTCACAGTTTCCCGCAAGTGTCACATAAGAAGGGAAACTGGAGTACTGTTACATAAAATCTGGATCAATATGGTTTGCATAGCTGTTTTATTTTTTCCCCTCTTTAATTCAAGAGGGATGTGAGCAGAGAGTTCTTCACATCTGTGTAATTCTTTTTCTGAGGCTCAAAACAAGTGAACCCTGCTAAAGCAGGTCACCTTTTATGGTCAGTTCCATCAAGGATGAATCTGAACATTATGATACAATAATTCTTTCCAGTAGTTTCAATCAAACAAAATATTTCAGTGTTCCTTTCTCTGCACACTGCCATTTATAGCAGCTGATAAGTTTGCAAGTAATTGCAAGGCTTTTATGAATAAAGAAATAATTTTTTTAATCTAAGAATCTGAGCACACGAGAGATGGAAAGTCAAGACCCGTTCCAGTTTGCATTTCCATGAAAGACCAACCAGCGAGATTCAGAATGTAAACACCTCAAAGTTCAGCTCTTTTTCCCATTTATTTCTGTCTCCTTTACTATGTATCACCCAGTCCTTGTCAGCTGCTATTAGTCTTCAAAACAAATTTAGAAATGCAACTTTAAGATTAAACAGTGTTTCTCCTGCTCGTGCCAAATAGCTACATTTATTTCTATTCATGCAATAGTTTCCAGTGGCTAAGGGGAATTCCAATCAGCAAGGGAACACAACTTCAATGATGATTGACTTTTAAAGTTGAACAATTGATACTCACGGTTTTCCTCCTGGGATGCCTGTAAGATTGGGAGGGATGCCTGGGACTCGCATGTGATGATGTGGATCAAAACCAACCTATAGTTTTCCCCGAGTAAAACAAAAAGTTGTATTAAAGATGGAGTTAGGCAAAGACAGACTGTTTAATTCATGTTCTCCATAGCATAATCCCCAAATTACAGAGAGACTGAATTAGATTTAACCCCGCAGGTCTTATATTTAATATGAACTGCGCTCACCATCGAAGACATTAACAGCAAACACTTACCACCGGAGATCTCCCGTAAGCTGCTGCTGCTGCTGCTGCTGCAGCTGCTGCACTCATTTGAGGGGAAATATTGTGCAGACCAGCATAGGCAGCTCCAGGGCTGGTCAGTTCCCCGTTCATACCAGCATGCGGCACGATCCCAAATGGAGTAGGATAAGGACATGGCACTGCCATAGGCGTCCTTAAACCTGAAGCTATTGAGGGAGGGAAAAAAAGAGAGAGAAGTCACACACAACCAGCTGAGACCCATTACATGAAATATGATTTTGGCAAACAGCAGAAAAAGTATACATATATATATATACACGCTGCATTGAAGTGCTGAAGAACCAGCTCAGCATCCAGTTTAAGCAGCTGTAATATACTGCCTCATCCCTGTAGATTTAAAGGGAGTCTGGTTAGGGACAAACGTCCACTGTTTCACACCATCGGAATACACAGACACTAACCTAGCGGGTCCACACCTGGGGGTTTGCCAGGCACTGGCCTCAGTCCGGGAGTGGAGTTGCTGCCTGGAGTTGGGGCATCAGTCCGTGGAGTTGGGGTATTTGATTTAGACACAGGAGTGGTAGATTTCTCATTCTAATCACCAAAAAGGAAAAAGGAAGAGTTTGTTAGTTATTTTACTTTTTTAGCTAGTGGTTGGTAAGACAGCCAACAACAACCAGAGTATGTGTGATATTTAGCTTTTGGGTTTTGATTTCAGCAGTCCCTGGCAACGAAGAGAAGCTGCAGGGACACTGAAAAAGACGGAATGGCTTTGGGAATTAACTACAGCCTTCACAGCTTTCCTCATCAGGGGCATCCATATGATTCAGAATGAGCTCAATGACTGAAAACCATTGCTGTCTGACAATTATGTTGGCAGCTACGTGAAATCCGTCAGTGGTCTCACTCCGCTCATAGCGGACCTGCTCCCATGACGATTATGAGTTTCTGTGAGAGGCCACCGCCGGGTGGAGAAGACCAGGAAAAGCCCCCACAACCGACCAAGAACTCATGCCCAAACGTGGTGCTGGAAACACAGGACAGAGACAGTGATGGGTATAAAGTCAGCAACTGTGCGGTGCAGCTCTTGTGACAAGCTTGTTCATCAGACAAACCACTGACTCCCAGGCGTGAACCTGTCATTCCATCACCTTTCCTGAGCACTACATCCACTCTAAGCTTTCTTTTTATTTCTTTAAATAATTGCATACCCTGACCTGTGAAGAACTGAGAGGGGAGTTACTGTGCAGCTCAGGAAGGTGATTAACTATGGTCACAAACAGGAAAGGAAAGAACATCCCTGACTTGCAGGCGGCTCTTTTTTTTCGCATTGTGATTTGCGATGCAAGTCAAGGAAGGCTCTTGTAAATGACAGATTACTTTTTAGATAGAAAATAAAAATTATTGTTGTTGTATATGGCCTGGTAATTCAAACAAAGCTAACAACCAAATCACATCCAAGCAGGGAACTGAATTTGCTATAAACCACAGCACAGGAAAACAGCTCAAGGAACCCCTGTGTACTTTTATTTATTCTCAGAATGACAGTTTTTCATATGGGGAGGAGAAAAACATCTCTCAGCACAGCACATCTATCATCCACCCACACCACCAGTGAAAATAACCTCTTCCTACCCCCAAAAAAGGCTGTGGACTTTCTCCTTACTATTTGATTAAATTCCCTTGAAGAGATAAATTAAACAAATTTTAAATTGATGCTTCATAGTGCTTTACTGATAGCTGTGGAAATCCAAATTATGTCCAGACAGAAATCCGGTAAACGTGTTTCAGCATACAATCACGGGTCAGGAGCATTTTGAAGCACTTACAAGGCTAAGTTCTTTGGATTTGGAGGAAGGAGTACTGCTGGAGGATGCAATAGATGCCGGACTAATTGGTGCATCTTTCTTCAGCAGACGATTCTTGTCCAAGCCGTTCTCCCGCGGAGAGTGTGCTGGGCTCCCTCGGGGAGAGGAAGGATCCTAAACATCAGCAACGTGGGTTAGCATAAAAACTTCATACTAGCCACTAGTGCTTGTCTTGAGCAATTCTCACTTTGGAATGAAGATCTGTCATAAAAAGTGACATCTTCCTTCAGTTCTTAATTGATTTTGTTGATAAAATTGTAAAATCGAGATGGATAATGAAAGACAACATGTTTTTTTTTTTTAAAAAAGAAAGTCTTAAAATTTGATGCTATTAACCATGAAAAATGATGTTAAAAATCTATGGATATTAAATTAGTCAAGTAAATCTCATTTGTCAGGTGACAGATTGGAAAGGTTTGAGGCACTTGGCAGACCTGATAAAAGTTCACAAATGAAGTCATGGCCAGAGTGAAACAAAACACACATAGCATTACAAGCTGCATTCTATCTGCTGTGCTGGGCTGGCTTCAAACATCTCAAGCAGACTTTTGGCTCATACAAGAAACAAAAAGATCCTTTGTAGAAATAAGCATTACAGATCTGATTTGCATTCTAAAGAACGATGACCTGACTGGATTCCCTCAGGCATTTAAAACTCCTTTAGGAAGGCAAAGGCTGTAATCTTACTCATACACCCAATATGCACAGAAACCATGCTCCCCCTCGCCTCTGTAAGGTAGAAAAACCACCATTGTGTATACCTCATTGGAAACATCAACTACCAAGTTGTCATCACTCTTTTCACCATCGCTGTCCTGCAATGACAAATCACAATACATTAAAAACATTTATTCAATATCCCAGTGTCTCTTAAGTACTCAGCAAAAATAAACCAATGAAATGCAAGGCTGCTCACAACTATGCAGCACAGCATCTACTTTTACCAAGCTTTATGTGGTAATACAATTCTAATATTTAGGTCACCTATAGTGCTTCTGCTTAACACGTTGCCACAGCATTCTTCCCAGTTTTCACACTGATGAACATGGACATAGGATGAAAATCCTCATCCAAAGTTGCACCGCACTGGGAAGTAGAGCCAAGCTAGAGTCCAGACTACCATCCCAGTCTAAGTAATGCTCAGTCCTCTTGTCACACACCTTCCAGGTGCTCTGTATTTATACTGTTAAAAACACCATCGATCCTATACAGTGAAACCTTCCACCCAGCATAGATGTAAGAACCTGTTGAAAATTTGACCCTCCATTTTAAAATTAGTTATGTGGTAGGAATCAGCTGAAATTACAGAGGAACACTTACATTTGACAATGCATAGTGTAGGCAATTTACTCACATAACGAGCTGCTATTTCCTTCTCTTCTGTTTTCTGTTTTTTACTATCTGAAGAATAATCTGCTGAATTTCTGTGCTTTTCTGCTGTTCTGAAACTGGCTGAGGGAGATACAGAAGAGCTCTGCAGTCAGAAAACAGATGAAGAAAACATCATCAGATGCTCATTCAAAACAGTGGTTCATTTGTAACTATCCCTCAATACAACTTAACCTGATAACATGATTGCAGTTGTTCTCACATAACGCTTTGGGTTTTAATCAGTGATAGCTACCCAGCAAGTGTCTTGTAATAAAAGTGGACAATTCATCGCAAGAGACAGATAAGGGTGATCAGCCAGTGGATCATAGTTGCTAATCACAGTGTCAATGGGATGAATGTAAAGTTACTTCAGACCATTTTATGAATACTGTGCATTGGCTTGGTTTTTGTTTGTTTCCTCCACAAATATGCAGGGTTAAACCAATAGTCCCAGAAGAGGGAAGTGGGTGTGTATGTGTGTGCATTTGTCTGTGTAAATCAAGAGGAACAAAGTGGCCCAAAGCAAGTCAGACTTCAGCAAACATTTGAACGAAGATTTCTAGCAAAGAAAGAAGCAAGCTTCTGAACAGTCTCGAAGCAGGAAAGAACAGGGGAAAACACCTAAACCTATTTTATTTTGGGACCTTTTACAATTACAGCCTGTGCTGGCAGTAGACAGAAACACAACACAGTGGCTCAGTGAATCTCTTGCCATTCTGCAGCGCTTGCTTGGTAATGAACATTAAAGAGCACACACATGGGACAGGAGAGAAAGGAAGATAATATGTACCTTATGCACTGTCATCCAACAATTCTGCTCTACTCCTTTAAACAAGGCAGGCGACATTTATCAACTCCTACCATATTTCCAAAGCTTGGTGAGGCCTGTATCTTGGTATACAAAAAAGCAAGTAATGAAAGATGCAAAGTTCCCTCTGGGATTGATTTTAGCAGCAGCAGCAGCTTTTGGCCCCAGTTCAAGAAAGCATTTAAGCATGCACTAAACTTTGTCTCACACTGAAGTCAATGGCTGAACGTACATAAGTAAGGATGTGTTCAGGCATTTTGCAGAATTGGAGCTGACAGGAATGAAGATGAAAGTAATTCTCAATTGAAAACCTGCTGACTGTTTCCACCTCTCTGTCCTCCTTATACAAGGGAGTGGGAGGAACAACCACCAAAGAAGTCCTTACTGCCAGATTTTAGATCCTCCCGCTCATCCAGAATCACTGGTTTTGGGGTTCTTCCTCCACGCACTATGGACAGCTATTGTTCCACATAGAACTGTATAACACAGCAATTTGGTTTTGGGGTTTTCAGTACACAGCCCCCTAGGTTTATTTTATAGCTACTACCAGGAATGCAAACCAAGAAATTAGCATTTACATTGTGCAACTTCTGTTCCATCACTATTACTGAAATTCTTCTTTTCCTTATTACACCACAAACTTCTGGTAAGGATTAAGAACACTTAACCACAGAAGTTAAGCTGTGGTTGTTGCCCAAGTAACATGAGAGAACATTTCTTCCTGCTGGGACACCCAGGTCCTTCTCTCCACCTCTCTAAATTTTCCAATTCTTGTCAACAGCAGCTCAGATTAATGAGTGCTGAATATGCAAAATCTTCCATCTTTTTGATTGGTAGTTGTTAATTACCTTCTAAGTACACCGAGTGGAAACAAAAATTTTAGAACAAAGCTAGTGCTGAACATACCCTGTGCCTTTCCCACTTGCCTGTCTGCCTGCCTGCCTCCCTGTCTCTCTCTCTCTCCTTCCCCCTGACAGTATAAAATAGGTAGACAAGGACTTCCCATCCTGAGCAAATACATCTTAACATACTTTCACTGATTTAGTTTTAAAGCTGATGATTAATCAACTCTTATAGCAAATGATACAAACTAACAGTGTTTTTTGCTCTGAAGAGACACCACACGTTAAGACATTCGGAGACAGTAGTGGTAGTAGGCGCAGAAGACTTTAAAATAAAGGCCAAGTATAAATGCAACATTAAATGAACTGATGGCTTGAAAAACGTATTTGTTTACTGCAAGGAGTTTACTGCAACGATATAGCATAGTCTTTCGCAAAAGATTTTAATAATATGCTCCTATTACATTTATACTCATTTACAATTTGGGAGGCAGTAGCTTGTAATGTGAATTCAATTCATTATTTCTCAGCTTCACCCTACGGAAAGTAATTTGCTTTAAAACGAAGAAAAATAATCACTAGTAAACTACAAATTAATGTGGTGTCTAAAGAACTAAACTACTGCACTTATTTAAATAGAAATATTTATTTTCATAAATTTGAAACCATATAGTTTCATTTTTCACAATCTAGTTAGCTATGTGCTATAGATACCATTTTAATCTTTGATTTCACTGCTTAATAAAGTAATAAATTAAAGGTCCCTACCAGAACGATAAAGTAGCTAATTATCACTAGCACACAAAGGATGACCACCACATTGGGCACTGGGGCAACGCACACTGCTTAATGGTTTCATTGTTTCAAAGATGGATCAGACCTGATACCAACATGAAAAGATCTTAAGGTGGTATCTCACCTGACATCAGCAGAAAAATGGAGACAACTCACCTATTGACAGCAGGCAGAATCTCATGTCCCAAACTGAAATTTGGCCAGCGTACTAGGACCAATATTATTTTGCCTCAAGAGTCAATTACTACAGAATAAATTGAAACATTCTCAGTTTTAACTGTTCTACTCCTTTCCTTGCATGGAGTCAGTCAGTCAATACTCCTGCAATACTAACTTTTTTTTCCCCTTCAACACGCAATGCACCTGCCACATAAAGATCTCTGACTTCATGGGATCTCTGGTATTGTTGCTGACAGATCTAAATTTATCTCTTATGTTAAGACATAAAGATAAGTCACATATACAGCCAACAAGCTGTATCTTACAGTAAGAGTAGATCTTACTATGCACTTAACACCTACTATTTTCACTTGTGCGAGGGACAACATTATTACCCATACTGAGACCCCACTATTGTTTGCAATGGCTTTTCAGCCCATCAACGGTTGTAAGGATCTGTCTTCAGGGAGAAATACTGGAATGTAACAATGTCCTCGCGGTTTCCACTGACATCAGATTCCTACATATAATCCTGTATCCACCCACACCTTGACTCCTGAGTCTGCAAGTCTACCTACGCCAAGAGAGGTCCTTACATTTGCAGACTGCGCAAGAAAACCTCCACTAAAGCACACTGTTCGGTTGTCAGACTCTGCCCTCTTCCTTGATTAAAACATCGGTGCTCTCCTAACAGCTGCCTTTAAGAAGCTGGAATAGGATAGCTGGTTAGAGAAATTAAGTGATTCAGCATTGTGACTTGGCAGGCTGTAACTTAATGGGCCAGAGTCCTCATTTTAGTAACTATTAAAATTTATAGAGAAATAGTCTTTTCTCACTGCTGTTTTCTTCAATAAAATGCGTTAATCTACTAGAGAATATAGCATTTTCCTACTAACCACCACTGAGTTTGCTCACATATAATCATTAGATCAGACACAGGAAAAAATACTCTTTGGTGAAAGTAGGTTATATTTGGTTTCTGTTTCAGCAAAATGTACCAGTTTTTCATATTCTGCTTAGGCAGAACATTTTTATTCATGTTAAATACACCACAAAATGCTGACAAAAAACAACTGAATATACACATTTATACAAAGGCTGAGCACATTGCCTTGTTCACATAATTTGCTTAAGAAGTGGAACAGTGTGTTTCTAGCACTGGACCCACAGTCGTACCTTTTGCACCAGGTTGTAAAGCATGGCATGCTATGCTTCAGTCTCTGCTTTGGCCAGTGCTGAGCACAGTGCTAGCTGAAAAGATCTTCCGCTGCAAGGACCACTCTGTTTTCTCTCCAATGTTGTCAGGATGTTGCTCCTGGTGAAGTACCAGGGCCAGACAGGTGCAAATTAAATGAACATAAAGAGGGTTATAAAAGCCTTTTACACATCCGCAAAATTCTCACCAGTAACAGGGTAAACATCAGCGTGCTTCCTGTCTATTTGAGATAATTAATACTTCAAATTGCCAGGAAAACAAAAAAAAAAAATTCACTGTTTTACCCCCAACTTCCACTGGAAGTTACTTGCATTAACATAGATGATTCACACTGTAACATGGCAGAAAAGAAACCATTACAGTCAGATTGCACAGCCATCGAACTACTCTCAAATCCTGCAAGCCTCAACTCCCCATATGCTAGCTCCTGCAGATGAAGACCTGGCCTGAGCAGACTAAGTGAGAATTAAATGAAATCAGTGTTAAAAGTAATGACTAGAGATGACAGGATGAAGAGCCCTCCCACATGATAAAGCTGGTAACTCTTTAAAGCATTCACGAATATGACCATTCCCCAGCGTACCCTTACTACTATGCCAAAATGATGTATTCGGAGTGTAATAATTAAAACAATAATTCCCAACAAAGTGGGAATTACGAGATAATTGACCATCCTGAAGTATTAAGCAAACTGCAGTAAAAGCCAAAGATGCTCAACGCTAAGGTCAATTACAGTATAATTATCTGAATGACATTATTGCTGTTATAAAGTCTGTTGAAAGTATAAAAGAAACTATAAAAATGGATACAATATGCATTGCAGGGAAATGACCAGGCAGTAATGCTGCTTGGTTGGCTGGTGCCAATGCTATAGATGGATGTACCAGCGCTGGAGCTTGGTCTCAGGCACTGCTCCAGGCTTGCAGCACTGAGCTCTCCAAGATAAAACTGTATGCTTAAATCAGAAATGAGAAAAAGAAAAAAAAAAAAAAAAAAAAAAAAAGAGGGCTGCAACGGAGATTGCTCTGGTAGGGCGTAAGAAACACCCGGGCGACAGGACAGGGCACAGTTCAGTGCAGCCCACCAAGACCATGCGCCCACAGAGAAAAACTGTAACCAAGAGCTCCCACATGGGAAACCTTCTGCATGGCTCTAACTATAAGGCAACATCCATTTGCCCAAAAAATGCATTCATTTACATACACCTATAGGCACATGTACGTTACTTTTATTAAACTGAGAGACATGGTGTGAAAGGCTGTGGGCTGCTCTGTAGACACCAT